GTTAAACTAATTGCATTTATTATAAATTTAAACTGTAATACGTTTTAATTTTATTGCAAGTAACATGCATGTGTCAAAAACATTCATTTCACACTTAAGAAAATTCTTCGAAGGTATATTATTTCCATATTAAGTACTCTTTTTAAAAGTGTGCTGAAGTGTACTTATTTTTCACAGGGGTTAAACCATCAAAACATTAGCTTTGATGCTAATTTATTTGCTAGTGTACTCCTAAACATTGAGAGAATCTCTTTAAGCACTTAAATTGACAGTTTCTCTGATCTGAGAAATAAACCAACAATATCGATGACTCATCCTGCACTACTCAGATTTTTGTCCAATCAGATTATTGCTTGAGTAAGAGTGCCCCTCCCACTGCAAGCATTCAGGATATATCCGAAAATGAGTGTTATTATCTAACACAGTTTCAATTCTCAAGTATTTTCTTAAAGGAATGTTATTTTGCTTAGCTGTTTGGCTAGTTAGCGTGCTAGTTTGTGTAACAACAGCACATTTTTGTTGCATGTTTTGATGGTTTGATGTTTTGCTTTTTTTTCTTCACTTTCATTCTTTAAAAGTGTTTTTTTATATTTCATAAAATATATTTAATAATTGAAAGTTATGTCTCACTTTGAGGATTTGAAGAAAAGTGTATTTCATAAACTCACACTCTGCAAGATAGGAGTATGTTTGTTTATTCAGAATTATATCAAATGTGAATTTTGTTCCTGTGAGTCATTCATCTGTCAACAGATATCAAGAGAAATCTTCAGTTCGTCATGACTGTAATGTTAATGTGAAGCACTTTATATGTGGAGTAATGTCTGTGCCAGAGGTTTATTCCCATGGCTTAGTGGTTTGGATTTGGGTGCTAGCTTTTGGTTTCGCAAATTGGTAGTTATTCATTTAGAACCTTGCCAAGTCAAGATTACGAAGAAGAACTGCTCATATCCTGGTATGGATGTAAATTTCGATTTTCCGAGGCTTGATTGCCTTATTGGGAGTTAGATGGCTTGATTTCTAAACTTCCAACTTATAAAAGCACAGTAGAATGGCACTTGAAGATGGATTTACAACTTGGAATTTCAATCACACTAAAATGTTCCTTCATTAAATGATAAAACAAATGTTTACAGGTGTGTAAAACGTGATAATCTGCTGATAATCATACAATTGCGGAAAAAAAAAACAGCATTGCTCTGCATTGTTTTTTTCTGCAATTTGTTTAGTGTGCTGTTTTAGCATTTTCTGAGTGTTGGGCAATATAGAATAAATTTATAGTTGAAAGTCAGATATATTCAGTTAGAAAATTTGACTTTGGATGAAATGCAGCATTTGACTTTTTCTTAAATACCCTGATCCACATCAGTCTGACAGCTTTAAAGCCTATTAGTTACATGACAGAAGTTTAGGAAGCACTTACAGCTTTTATTAACTATGTTGCGGCTTAACACCGGTATCACCGTCAACACCGTCTATCGCGGCAAGCCTATGCGACAGTAATAACTGCTTAAGAAGTTTCTACACTAAACAGTGCTGACCAAAGATAAGTTTCAGAAAACTTCAACCAGTGGTGCCAAACCTCAGCTTCAGCCAAACTTCAGACAATAAAATGACCCATAGTTTAACCATTCTGAGATATTGGGGGGGTGGGGATGCAAACGACACCGTCGTTTTGGGTAATGCAAGAATGATTTAAAATGTCTTATACAAGTTGAATGATGTTTTATTTGATTATATAGGTAAACAAATTAAATGGAGACATACATTTGAAAAAAGGAAAATGTTTTATTTCAAGTTGCATAAGTTTTTATATTATATTATATTATCTTTTTTGTGTGTAATTTAACTATGTTTCAAATAAAGTTTAATCACTGTCCTTTAAAGCGTTTCTTGCTGACTCAGCTGTCATCGCTCCTGTTCTTCATGACACATGCTACTTTATTTCCTTCACGCAGATCTGGTGCTCAGGATAAAAATAATAAAACAAACTGTATGCTTCTGGCAGACGCACACTGATAACATGAGTTTCAGCAGATGGAGATGATGTGTACAAACACACACACACACACACACACACATACACATCTGTGCTGCCTCAGGCCTACAATAACATCTCCTCTCAGTTCAGCTCATATACAGTGGCTTTATTATCTGCCTCCAAAACGGATGCTGAATGCAGGACAGAATGACAATGCTAGAGTCCTTCTGTGGATCAGCATTTGATTCATACGCAGTCTGGAAATGCCACACACCAGCAAACCAAAGTCAAGTTTTCTCTTAACCCATTTTCTTTTGTTACTCTTTTTGTTATGTTTCTGTGTCCTGTTTTGATTTACAAAGTAGCCTACATTTTTTTGGCATTAAGATAAATCTCATTAAACATGTGAAGAACATGTCTGGGAATATATTTCACCATATTATATATATATATATATATATATATATATATATATAGGATGTAACGATTAACC